GCACTCAAAGCCATTGTATTTAAGAAACTCTATTTTGTTGATTAAACATCACTTTAAAAAGCAAACAAAAGGCAAAGACAGACAAATAGTGTGCCTCTCATTAGATAACAAAATGAGTTGTCTTTAGAATTTCAACATTTGAATAACATATTGATTGCAATTTCTTAGCATTTATTCACAAAGAATAGTCAAATGAGATTGAAATTTCTCGAAAACTTATATATTATTACTATTTTTGATTTCTTATTCAGAAGTCGTAATAATATTCAAATGTCTATTTTGTGATTCAAACGTTTTATATTCAAATCATCCCGTAATAAGTTATAGAAATAGTTCTCCTTTTCTAATAGAATGACTATTTTTTATACAGTACTATACCTTATCTACCAGTGCTTTCTCACAAGCGAGTGCAATATATTTTGCATACCAATACTTCGATTGCTGATATTATTTAAAATTTATATTTGTATTAATTTTTGTATATTTTTATTAGATTTTAACAGAACATAGAGCTATGGATTGATTTCGGGAATTATGCAAAACCTATGCTATAAATGATTGGTTATGTTTCGGATGAGTTTGTCTGCAATCTTCATGAAACCACATTTGATTACAAGCACTGAAGTGATAGGAATACTGAATGGTCTGTCGCCATGGGAATTATGCAAAACCTATGCTATAAATGATTGGTTATGTTTCGGATGAGTTTGTCTGCAATCTTCATGAAACCACATTTGATTACAAGCACTGAAGTGATAGGAATACTGAATGGTCTGTCGCCAGAAGGAATCGGCAGCCAATGAATTGGTGCCAAAACGCAGGCAAACACTACGAAACACTTATTATTCATGAAGTGTTTGGATCTCAATCTCATATATTCCTAAAAATTTTTTATGATAAAGTAGTTTCCAGTGATTTCGTTTAACTGAGTTTCGTTTGCAGGTCTCCAGAGATGGCAAACCAACCCATACCTCAACCGCACACTGACGAGTGTGTGAAGAGTGTATACCGTTATAAATCTGCATCCAATAAACTCAACTCAACTATAATATAGTGAACTGAACTGAACAGGGAGCTTTACAAGAATATCAAATTAGCTTCCGATCAATCGCTTGTTTGTTGTCAGCACTTGTTTTAGCCCTTGTTTTCACCACAATTTCAAACTTGCGGTCATTTTTCTTATTAACTCTTTTTATATATTCTTTTTTCTCTATTCATTCATAACTCGATTGATATTTGTTTCACGATTTCTACACACAATTTGAGTCTCTCTTCTTAAAAGTTATTTTATTTGTTCTCAAATTTCATTTTTGTCAAAAAGTCTTTTTGTATTTTTACTCTCTTTTTATCACTTTATATTTCAAATGTATTTTGTGTTGAAGTTATTTAATGTCACACTTTTCACTATAGATATGACACGTTAGGGCTGAGCATATGTGAGGGCTTTGGTTACAACAGTACTACTAATCGAATTAAGGGCTCGTATTGTGGATATAAGGCTGAGTCGAGGCTCAGTTGATCAGCGGTTCAAATGTTGACATTACAGTGAAATAAATAGATTGAGACTATATTCCAAACCCTAACTTAACTACAATATAGTTATACAGACAGTCTGTTATTGTTCGATACCATCTACTTCTGATACTCGGCCCCAATATTACATTCACTCATTATGAGTTTCGTGCAATTATATGAGATATTGACAACATATCACACAATTTCTATCAATTTCATTATTCTTTATAATATGAATGCAATAAACAAAGTGTCACAAAGTAAGTTGCCAGAATGAAATAAATACTAAAATGATAAGTTGGTGGAGAATATAATGAAACCACAAATGATATGTGAATTAATGAAAACAGTTGTGAAAAGACTGCAGAGAATAGAGATGTAGCACATAATGTAATACAGACTAACACTTCTCATTCTTCCTCATCCTATATATAAATATCTAACTCGTGATGAAGTGTTCAGTGTATAAGATATACTGCAAGGATATAGTGTTGATGTACTCGCGGTGTATATCCAGTATTCCGTATACTCTGTTGAGTTGAAGTGTGTTTAAATGCCTACACCTCTAGCGATACATAATTTTCTTTTATATCAATGCCATATAGACTTGGCTTCGGAGCTAACAATTCAAACAGCATTTCCGATATATACAGCCAATGCCTTAATTGCAATATTTAAGAGATGTGTCGCTCATTTGTCTTAATTAAGTTTATTCAATCGGTTATAATTGAATTTGACATTAAAAATATTTGTTTGCATTTATGAATGTGATGATGATAAATTTATGTATGGAAAAATGGTATTGTGTCAATAAGTATGTATATGTGTGGTTACATAAAATTAAAACGAGTGCACAAATATGGTTACACAATAGTCTGTTAGATCTAATTTGAGTATTGATTTAAATTTTGAGCACAGAATTAGTGATATATTGTTTGCAAATGAATGCATGCATTCATTAGATGAAAGCCGTGTCAAGCATTAGGCGTTAAGGCGTGTAATAGGCATCACATCTAATTGACTGGAAACGGGTTACCACATGTCAATTTGAGTGACAGCCTGTCCTACATTGTATTAAATGGCTTACTCTGCTATGCCGAGGGGCGCACTGTGTTCTGTGGCTGTATTCCTGTACTCTCCCTCAGACTCCCGGTGCTGTACTCCTGTACTCTCCCTCAGACTCCCGGTGCTGTACTCCTGTACTCTCCCTCAGACTCCCGGTGCACTTCTCGGGAGCTCAAGGCGTTTATTTCCACATGAATGAGAGAACTTAGTGGCAGTTATATGAATTTATGTGTAGTATATGTTGTGATTGTGTGTATATTTTTGTTAGACTTTTGCTGCTTTTAAGCCAAAACTTTATTTAGACAAACATTGAAATGCATATCAATTTAATAATCTGATGATTGCTTTTTTCAGCGTTTCTATAGTTTGCAAACATCTGTTGTAAGCATTATATGCCTAACTATTTGAAGCATCCATTAGTCTATTAGTGTATTTCGCTTCATATCTCACAATAGAAATGTGATACAAACACATATGCCATTCATATGCCATATATTTTCACTTAACAAATGCTTTTTGAATTCTTAAAAGTCGAATCGATGTTAGTTTGATGTAATGTTTTTATTGGACCCAATCCTAACATCTTTTTCTAAATGCTTGTCTGAAAGCACTGTTAGCTTTTGAAAAACCAAATGATGTTTCATTCCATTTGTGTTGAATAAATATTAACAAAATGTAAAGTTATTCAAATTGTCAGGATTAGACCAGATTTGTGCAAGAATGCATTGTTTTGATTAGTATTTTTAGATCCACTAAATCATTGCAAATGTATTTTAAATGAGGTTTAATTATCTAACAATTGACAGAATAATGCAACGAATGTGTTAGAGATTTATTCTCACATTTGTCAAAGAAAAATAATGTAACACAATATCTATAGTTAGGATACCAGTGCTTTCTATCGAAACTATTGGTACAGATTGTGGTTATTTTAGCAGTAAGTCCTTAAATGTCAACATTGACTGAGAGAGTAAATAGCATTAAGAGTCGAAACAAGACACACATTCAGCGAGAATAGTGAGCAGTAGGCCCAGGGTCTGGTCAGTCAGTGAGTCCGGGCGGATGCCATTCAGTCACAACTGTCAATAAAGCCTCCAAACCTATTCTCCAACCTTTTGTCTACTCATCTGAACCACCACTACTCACTACTGAACTGAAATTTGTATCCAATTTCAGCGCAAAATTGGGAACCCGTGTTAAGCATAATCTTTGCTTAGTATCAGCTTTTATTAGACTTCAGATACACATCACATCATACCATACCATACCATACAATACATTAAAACTATAAAAAGCACATCAAATAAGTCCATTTGACTTCAATCAGCACAACATTTCATTTTCAATACGATCTTATCTAACATTTATTATTCATTATATGTTCAATGAAATACAGTCTACACAATGATATCATTTATTGTTATATTAATAATACAATATATGAATAAGATTTACTTGTAAACATAAATTATTATAATGAAAAGTTATCTAAAAACTATCCAACAGTTAAAAGTGTGTGAAGCAAATGAATCCATTTGTCAAAAGCACAGTAAAACTCATCTCATATTTAGTGTCAAATAATTATCATATTTTATATCAATAAAAGGAAATAATAACAAATAAATGTTAAAAATATTTTACAATATTTACGAATACTTTGATTCGATGTAATAGTGAATCAAATGGAGAGATAGGCTGTCAATCGGTGCATTTGCTGCCACGACTGGAAGGGCTGCTCCTCCAAGAGCTCGCCTCAGTCGACAGATCGACGGCCGTCTCGTGTCCAGTGTTTCCGCGAACTTCTTTGAAAGCGGACACAGAGTTGGGACTATCGGGCCCTCCGTTCTGCAACATAACGGCTGCGCTGGTCATTGAGTTTGTGCATTGACTGCAACCCGAGGGACAGACAGATCCGGTGGACCCACCGGTGAACGCGTTGTTCGGATGAAATAAATAGTGAATGGCAGCCGCGTTAGGGTAGGGGGCGATGGATGGCGAGGCACCGAAGTCCCGGTGATAGGGAGAGGTCGTCGACGAGAACATGTTTGGGAAGATGGGAGGCGGCGGTGGACCTAACGGTGGGTTTCGTGTCGATGCGAACAATGGGTTAGAAGCGGATAAACTGATGCCTGAACTCAATGGAGTGAACGCAGACTTAATAGACCCTAAAATGGGACTCATATTCGCCTCAATCTCTCGTCGCCTTTGATGGCTATCAGTAAATGAGGAATAATTGTGTCCACTATTAGTATGGTTTTGATGTAAAACCATTGCGTCGTTTATTGAGATGAAGTGCTCAATGGCTTTGACTACATCTCCATTACAGCCCTGAAGTACTAAATCAAGTACTGAACGCTTCTGATGAGGAAATATACGGGAGATAACATCTAAAGGACTGAGTCGTCCGGGCCTGAAGTCCGCGGGAATATTATTACCAAATTCTGATAGACTTAGTCCAGTGGTTGTCGGTGGCGGTGATGGCATGAGTGAGGGATGTCTGCGAATCATGAATTTGTTTGAATTGGTTTTGATTGCTTTGGACTGTTGTGTGAGTTTGGGATCAGAATTGTGTGGACTTATGGAAGAGTCGGTGACAGGACTTCGAGACAAGAGAACTGTTGATTCAATCGGTGTGTCTGATAGGGAAGGCTGTGGCGGCAAAGCGCTGGGAATTTGTGTCATTTGTGTCTTTTCTTCTGACTTTAGATCTTCACAGGACTGATGTTGTGATGAATGGGTTTTTACTAAAACAATAAGTGTTAAGAAATAACTGATTTTAGCTCTATATGTAACTTATCACTCAATACAAGACTATCTATTGGTTTGATTTTGAGAAAAAAGACGTGAAATAATAATATCATTGCAGTTGCGGTCGAGTGTTGACCACAATTTTGTTTCGATTGCAATATTTGAGTATTTTATTCACTTTTCTATATTTTTTGCTCACAATTAGATTATAACACAGGACTGCGATGCCATCGGCTATACTCACTATATGTTTGCCTTTTTGATACTCCCTTCTCTCTCTCTCTCTCTCTCTTTCTTTCTCTCTCTCTCTCTCTCTCTCTCACACACACACACACACACACACTTACTCACTTTTCCCGATTTGCATTTGTTAGTATTTGCAGTGAATAGTGAATATAGTTTTGCAAATAATGATAAATCTTATAAACTTAACGATAAGCTTACTGCTTTTTTAATTTGACTACATGTAATATCAAAAATTCATGTCTTACCTGTAATTTCAATGTTATTGAGTCTTGAGTTTGTGTTATCAGTGCTGAGATTGTCATCGACAGCACTCTCGCTATCATTTGGATCATAATCTCCGGATTCGCTGTTATTCGTGTCATTCTTTAAAGAATTTTCTGAACAATTCTTAAGTTTAGTTAAGGGTTCTGTAACTTGTATTCCAAATATAGGACCGGGAGGTAAATATGTGTTGACAGGAGCACCAGTAGCTACTGCTCTCAAACCCATTGCAATAGCGTCTTCAGCCGCCTGTTGTCTCTTGAGTGCAACCTTAAGACAATTGTTTTAAATGAGGCACTAATTGAAAGAGCATACAAAATGTCATACCTGTGCAGCCATTATGCGCTGCCGTTCAGCAATAAGGTTGCACTTGGCACAGGTGCAATCACGGAACCTACAGTGCCTTTTATGACCCTTGAGCCATGAGATCATGCCGTGATTGCGACACCTTGCACATTTGGGTCGTCGGGCAGTCTGTCCATTGCCCGACCCATTAGAGGAGCCCGACGTACCTCTGGAGTGGTCGCGAACTGGCGGCGAGTGTTGTGCAGACATTGTGCTCATAGACTGTGCGATAGCCGTGGAGTTGGAGTGAGTGTTGGACACATTGAATGGCGAGAAAGGGTGCGCCTGTGGGCCGATGTGACCGCTAATTAATCTTTGCATCGAAACGATAGACAAGACATGAGTCTCGCGACTGTTTTGTGAATGAAGTTGCGATTCAAGAGGAAGTGCAACAACTTGTAGTTTATGTGATCATAAAATTGGTGATAAAAATTGTTTTATAGGATAACAAACCAACAAATATGTGATGAGTGATGAGTGAAGAATATTAGAGAAAAGAGATATTTTGGTGAACAGAATAAGGGATAGAGAGAGAGGAATAGGAGGAGTATATGTGATTTAGTTGTTTATACGAGTGTCGGCCCACACACCACGTATTCCAAGGCATTAAATATTGATTCCTTAAACAAACACTGCATCTCATTGGATGAGTGCATCACTCAAACCAAACAGTTGTTAAAAATGCTTTTTGCAGATCAAACAAAACGGATCTCAGATCTCTTACAAGCGTTTCATAGACAAACTAGTCAAGCATTTTGTTCAAGAAATTATTGCGAGTGTTTGTTAGTCAGGTATGCAAACAATACACATATATTCAAGTATTTCTTTGTCGGAAACATCGAAAAAGTCAAACCGCAGGCATTCATGAAAATGTGTGGCACTTGTTATCAGTCATTACCGATACGGTCCACCATTTCAGCCAATTCTCAGCACTACTACCACTTCCCAACCATCGCCTCTACCCCTCGACCCCACATATAATGTATCTCTTTATAGACTTTCATTTGATACCTATATCTGTATATCAGTAGCTATTGGTTGGCCCACTCAGCCGTCCACTGTATCTCAACTTTCAATTTCTCTTTAAACCAACTTTCCTTCCTTTCCTCTCATTCACACAAACTTTGATTAAGATATCAATGCAATTCCCAAATGGTTTTATTTATAGCCTAAATAGTCATATTTGATATAATATGTGGCTTTGCTCTCAAATATTTATATAAATATCATTTATTTAATTAAAACCATTTGAATACAATTTATTATTTTAACACAAGTTTCTTGATGTAATATTTTTATTTCGGATATTTTGTAATCTTTTACTTCATATAAATATAACATTTGAATCAAATAAATGAGAGCTTCATATAAAATCAACATTCCTTTGATGTTTTGCCGATTATATAATGTTTTATGGATTAACTACTTATTGTATGCTTTATTTTTCTTAAATTAACTTAAACTGTATGTTCATGTCATACAACAATCCCAAAATACTTAACACTATTTCATATAATAAATGTCAAAATTTATTTATACAAATAAGTTTATAAAGTTTTATCAAAATTGTTCACAATTGATATTTTGAGAACTTAAATTTATTTTAATTTTTCTTTTGTAATTTTATCTTTAAATCAAATATCCATTTATTATTAATCAAAGAATTTTAAACATGTATCTATTTTATATGAAACATTTAATATTCTCATTATAAAAGGGTAGTTTAAATACAGTTTCTGGATAAATTATATTACTTCTAATTTAATTGGATTAGATCTAATAAGTTTATAAATTTAGTTTATAAAAAATATAATAATATAACTTAATATATAACTATATATAATATTGTATTGTACTATTGAATGTAAGTTCAGACAAGTTGACTTTATATTATTTTTGGAGACAAAATGTAATTTTAACTAATAAAGAAAATGTTTAGTTGCTATTAAAAGGTAGTATACTAGACAGTTTTTTACAAATAATAAAAAGTTTAAGTATATAACTTATTTATTTATTATCTAATTTTAGAAATTTTGGGATACTAAACATTCACTTCATAATATATCTCTAATAATAAGAATTTTTGTTAAAGATATTCTAACTAGATAACAAAATTTGAGACCATTTCAATTTACCAAATAATTGTTCATTGTATTTATTATAGATTTGTTTTTAATAAATATTATTTAGTAAATATATATTTCTAAAAAATTAGCTTTTTGGGGAAAATTGGAGATATCTGTACAAGCTAATAATAAAATAACACTCTATCGTATTCTTGCCAATAAAATCTATACAATAAAAATGTTTCGTCCATTGAGTGACATCTTTGGCTTTGAATTCATACCAAATATTCTTCGTTTGAGTTTAAGTTTCAATTAATTCATAAGATTTTAATTAAATTTAATTACAAACAGAGATATTCAGTAGATTTTGAAACTTGCAACTAGAAAACTAGCCGTATGATTAGAAAATGAACTACTTATATTATATATAAATTAATATTGAGTTTTATAATATAAGTTTATTTTAATACCTTTTGCACATTTAACATTTTATTTATAATGGTATAACTGTAATGATAAAGTTAAAATGAATTATATTTAGATTAATAAATTTAAAAGTGCTAATTTAAAAGAGTAAAAATGATAAACCACAAATTATAAATTAAAAATTCTGCAATTAATATTTAATTATACAGAATATTCAACAACTAATATTATAAGTGCTAAAAAATTTCATGGTTTATCAGAATAATTAGATGAAAGTTTTTGTAAAATAGTAATATTTGTGTGAAATATAGTAATATTAGAAATATAATAAAACTATTTTCTCGATATATTGTACACTGTACAGTATAAATTAAATGGTAAAGTTACTAATGATTACGATTCTGAACAATAGATGTCTGCATTCACTCGTTTAATACACTATACTGTACAGAATTGCCAAGAATTTGTTTTACATTGACTAGGAATGCATTGTTCACAGAATATTGTCCACTTTACTACCTACTTGATTATTTATTTGAATAATACACTCCTATTTTTTACTTTTTATACAGTAATTACAGTATACAGGTATACTGTTTCTTACTTATTAAATTGCATTGTTCACAGAATATTGTCCACTTTACTACCTACTTGATTATTTATTTGAATAATACACTCCTATTTTTTACTTTTTATACAGTAATTACAGTATACAGGTATACTGTTTCTTACTTATTAAATTACTTATACTATATCTCCTGTATATGATGGAAACCAATTTGATATACTGTATGTAACCTTTAATTGTTATCCATTAATAAATAACATACTGTACCTTTCGAAGATAACATGAAAATGTTGTAATACAGGTGTCCCATATGATTGAGTCAACAATTTAGAAACCAAATGAAAATGAATGATACGAATGAACAACAAATATAAAGCAAAAGTCGTGAACCAAAACCAGAAATAGACTTTTCGTTCAATAAATCGATGAATGAGTTAATGAAAGTTTAAAATGCAGTAAATTTAAGAAAATGATAAATCATTGGAGAGAAAATCGTATGAAAGGATTATTTCCAAATTGTCTTTTAATAGTCTAAATAAATAAAAACTGAATATCACTATAAAGTAATGTTTCAATAATTGTATTGTTCTGTACATATATTTAATAAAACTTTCAAATATTCAGTGCATCCATTAATTTAAAAGATTTTTTTCATTACTTAAAAGTCTTTTTTTTGTATTTGTTGTATATATTCTGTATATATTTATATATATTTAATAAACTAATCAAATATAAGTTGTTATGAAAATCTCGTTTCTTTTTTGTCGGGAAATTGTTTTGTAAAACAAATTTTTAAATAAATTTTTGTCAATAAGTTTTCTCTTTTCTAAAAACACTGTATTTTGTTTATATGAATTGAATTACAATACAATATTTACAATCAATTTAATGCTCTTTTGAACTAAAATTTTTCAGTTTTTAAAATATAATCGAAATATTATTTCATTTATTCATTCATCTAATGCTCGTCTTGACTAAAATGATTGCATAACTGATATCTAAAATGGATTTTTTATTTGTTAATCCCTATGTTTAAGAGCATTTGAAATATTTTTTATAACGCTTTTTGAGTCAAATAATAGAGAAATTTACGACAAATTTCATCTATTCTTTCCATATTATAATCAATCAATAATTAAATATATAATTAATTATAAACAACAATATTTTTTTGTTTGTCCATCTCTTCATCTAAAATATTTGTCAGAAATATTACATTTAAAAAGACATGAATTTTCATTAAACAACTCAATCATTGATGAGAAACTCTACAGAAAAACGACAGAATTCTTGTGTCGATCGTCAGACATCTGTCACAACTGAGCACTCAATTAGTCATTTATTTATGAATGTTATGAGCGTTTCATTTATGTCGCAATGATTGTACGGCTATTTATGTCCCAATTTATCCAAAAAACAGCTTTTAATTTATGTATTATATTTATATGAATGATAACCTATACGATGGCTAATTGAGGGTCAGATATGACAGGCGTTGACGATATCAAAAATAATTTGAATATTTTTTACATTTAATATGTTTTTACTAAAACTTCAAATATTTGTATGAATTCATTTTGAAAATTTTTCATATTATTTTAGAAAATAACATTAAAATAAAACTAGAAAATTAAATAGTTTATAATCATAATAATTAATGAATTTTTTTATAATATAATACTTTCATGTGATTAGGGATTTGTAATGTAATGTTTGAGGTCTACAAAGATATTGCTTAAGTAATTGTGAAATGAAGTGCCACTCTCTCTAAGAGCACAATATATTATACAACTCTGTTATCAGGGAGTAGTAGTGAAAGGATTTTATTAACAAATTTTTGCCAAAAGTTCTTTGTTTTGTTCACTTTTCTCACGAAAAACGTTTTTGTCAGATTATCTTCACTTAACACTTCTGTCTCTCATTTGAATTTGTCTTTTAAAAATTATTTTCTATTTTTTTGTTCACAACTGTTTGAAACATAATTGACTTTCTATTCAATTCTCTATTGTCTTCAAATTTCTATCACTTTATCAGATGATAAGCAAATGTCACGCAATACTTATACCACTCATTATATGTGTTTAATATGTAATAATAGTTATATTGCTTTTTATTCTGGTATTTTCAGATTAAATTTTAGATTCATATATAGGTTTCAATAATATCTTTCCGTTTTTTCGTTTCGATTTTCAAACATTTTATTTATTGTGTTTTAATGAATAAATTTGAGTGAAAGTTGTGTTAAGTCTTAATCGCCACCACTTATTACCACATATTTATATCTGTTATCTTCATAATAATTGCACAAAACATTATATCACTTAAAGACTACTGAATAATGACATTAAAATAAGTAAAAATAGAAAATCTTTACAAAATATAATTCTTATACAAACAAAAAATCTTATTTCTATCGGAATCTTAAAATATATTGTGAAGTTTGACCATTATTTTAAATTCATAATTAAACTATTAAATCAAACAATATGTGGAATAAATAAATTAATATCAAATTAATTCGCTTATAGTATGAACATTTAAATATACATAATAAACAATAAAAATCTATTAAATTATAACAAAAAATCATTTCAATTATAATTATATAATTATACTAAATAAATATCTGGTTTTCATAAGGAATGCAGAGTTAATGAAGTGTTTGTAAATAACTTATAAATTAATTAATTAAAAACAATGGTTGGGAATGTATTAACTGGTAAATGATTTGCGTTTGCATTGGTATAAAGACTAGATTTGTTTGATATTAAATGAAAATTCATAAAATTGAAGATAACTGTAATATATTTGTCGCTCCTATCGACCAAAAGCTCGATTGTGTCGTACAAGAGATTCAATTAATAATGATTTACACGTTTTATGTCATAATAACACACAATAAGCTTATGAATCAGTCAAAACCAAATGATATTTTGCTTTGAATCACAAAAGTATAAGTACTTAATGTTTAGAAAAACAATTCATGTGATACTCGTGTCATAAAACTATTCAATACTATATATAAGGGGATACAATATGTTTTATGGGTCCGGGGTAATTGAGCGCCAAATAATTCTCTTTACATATTAATTGAGCCATACTTTCATATCAATTAAAATAATGTATTTTCGATAAGGATTTAAGATTCGCTTCTTCATAAGCCTATTATTATTAAGTTATTAATTGTTGTTATTATTTGTCGTTATTATTCTCACTCTTATTATTAATTATAATAAATATATGAATAACTTTCTTATTGACAAATCTTTTTTTTTCAACGTAAAGATGTTTGAAATCAATGAACAAATATTATCATTAAAGTTATCCACAAAACTAAATGTTTCACAAAAGTCTTCTCTAATGATCTTTTAGTTACAATCGAAAAATTTTTGGTGAGTTTTTCTGACATATTTTGTTTTTACGGTTGAGTATATTTTCTCTATTAAATAATAAGTGATTTGAAAAAATGGATCACATATTCAATGAAAACAATTAATGTCTAAATAGTTAGTCAAGTCTGCAGTTCACTCATCATTGCTTAAAATTTGTCTGAAAGTTATACACATGGTTTGAGTTCAAGTTTAGTTACATTTGCAAACTCTGATTAATTATATAATGTATTTATATTTATAAATTTATATATATATTGTTTTTTTGTCGTATTGGATGTGTTTGTGTCCACACCGGGGTGTCTAACTATGTACAGGTGACTATAGCGGCGTTGCCAATGGTCAACACCGAGGTCGGTTGTGCCGTTACAATCGTTTTGTTGGATGTGCTGCTCATCGCCCTCTGCGATGACGAGGAGGTGGAGGCCGGAGACATGGAGCCGGTGTCCAACACGTCGTCCAGCCATTTGTCTTGACTACGTCTGCGGGCATTCATAAAAAAGTTGCCGACAGTACTGAGCTCGAGGCCCAACTGTTGCGAAATAGTGATTTGCATCTCTTTCGACGGCCTTTTCGTCTCCTTGAAGATCGCCTGAAGAGTACGTCTTTGCAGATCCGTAAAGACAAGACGCGGCTTCTTCGGCGCTGTCGGCGATTTGGCTACACTTTGCTGATCCTCTTTCCGCTTGCAGGCTATCCGTCCAGTCGTGGCATTCAATTAAAGAGAGAAAAGAGTTTATGAGAAATTCGTTGTCACTTTCATCTAAAAAGAGGTCATATATAGACTTGTTGCCAGCCATGCATTATATGCAATGTATTACTCGTTCACAACATTTACAATCCATGCAAACATAGAACACATCATTAGCTTATAGAACATTGTAAAAGCCTAAGATACGGCACCGTTAGTTCAGTTAGCACTACCATTGCTTCATACATACATCTCCTTTCTAATTATCTTTGATGATAAAGTCAATACATTCTATTACTTACTATTATATACTCTTTGCTATTGTTTTAACACTAATATAATGAACAAAAAACATGCGACCGATTATAAAAAATAAATTATTATCACATAAAATTCTTTTATTATATAATAATAACAAAAAACACACATTTATTTAAAAGCATCCCTATGTCCTCAAAGATTTATTTGTTAAAATGTGATTGAATTACATAATTATTGACATTTGAATTCAATTAATATCTTTTAGCAAATATCAAAATTGATTTTTATTCTGTTGTTTATTTAGCAAAAGAATTTAAGAGTGAAATTAAATTATGTCTAAGTTTTTGTGAACTAAATATAAATATAATTTATTAAATCAAATCACATTCAAGAATAACAAAGTTTTTGAGCGAAAATTTGTTAAATTAAGGAAAAGGTTTTTTGAGTTGAAATTCAATTAAACATTTCATATAAGAGTGTGTTATAAATTAAATACAAATCTTAACTCCGGTTATACCGACGGCCTTATTATTAAAGCAAAAACAATGAATGTATTACTCATAGGAAATCAAATTATTAATTAGTATTTTTGGTTCGTATATAACATAGAAATTTAGAGTCATTTCAAGACTGAATCTCAAGCGATATTTTGTGTGCATTTGAGTTGAGAGTTGATTGAGTTATAGGAATGGGAATTATGTTCTCCTGAAGAGAGAGATTAGTAGAGAATAAGAGAGAAAGAGCTAAAGAAACACAGAAAACAGTGCATCCAATGTATGGCGAGAGGACTGTAAGGCACGGGAGGCATAACTTCTCAATCAACGAGAAGGATATTTAGCTCATAGCTATACACTATACTACACTATAGCTAAACTCAAACGGAACAGTTTTTGCAGTTCGTTAAACAATCTATTAATTTTGGTACATAGATTACAACATAACAGCACTGGTATCATACATGGCACACTACCAGCTCTGCTCATATGCACTACAAGTATAAAAAATATCACTTGCGATACATTCAAAGCGTTTGTCAAATAAAGTGCTTAAGTTTTGGCTGTCTTTGCTTTAATGAGTTGTCTTATAGAGTGTACACAACTCTATACGAGTCTTAAATTTAGCAAAACTGCAGATAAATGAGTCGAATTGTAGTGAATTAAATTATTTCCAACTTTGAGCCAACACTTTATGCAAACTTTATTTGCTTTTTTTTGGTAATTGAAAATGGGAGCCCATATTGTGAACATATAGTGGAAAGGCATCAAACAGTCAAACAGTATGTCTACTTAAATGTAATGAACTATTCAAGCGATATAACGAAGTGCTATCAAACAAAATTGATAGCTTCCTATAAAAGCACATCTCTTTTCAATGTATTCAATACATACACTAATTTTATTCAAAACTCATCCAAGTCAATTATACAAAAAAAACTTATAACAAAAAAAACTAGAATTTATGAAATAATAGTGAATAGAGCTTAGAAACAAAAGCCTGAAATATTATAATAAACAGATAAGTTATAAATATTTATACATCTGTTTATTACAAAGTCATACAACAAATGTTAGACAATATGAATGTAATTGAATTAAAGTTTAAATTGTTTGTAAATGTAAGCGATTGTATAGATTGACTTATAAAGCATTCACATAATAATGGTATAAATGGTGTGTTTTATACATATTTAGTGTCTTTCTTTTAATGGCATTTAGGGCTAGTTTTGTGGTCGTTATGGAAGTGGTGTTGTGAACGCATCAAAATGTTGGTGAAAAACTTTTCAAACACTTTGAGTGGATTTAGAAATACGTATAAAATGTGTGCAAATGTTTCTATATTTGATACACAAGTATTGGTATAACAGTATTAACCGACGAAAGTATAGAGAAATAGAGAGAAATATATTGTTCTTTGAATAGTGAGGGACTGAAACAAAAGTGGAAAGGGGTCTCATCTGCCGGAGTCCCACATTAATCAATAAACAAGTATTACAAGTATTTGGGTTTTTATCATTTCGGGGCTCTCTTTCCCCTTTACATGGAGTCTCTCTCTCTCTCTCTCTCTCACAGTCTCTCTCATGAGTGGCATCTCTGTTAGCCATCAGTGCTATGCGTTGAACACTGTTTCCCATCGTATCTCCAAAATGTAATCATTTCTTAACACATGATTAGGTCTATGAATGAAGTGTTATATCATTGCATTCGGCGTAACACCAGAAAAGACATCATTTTTAAAATTTTAAGAATTTGTATAAAAGTCATCGAAAGGACCGCTTTTGCATTCAAATCAATTTATCTCTCTTTTTCTTATTATACAATTTATTTTCATGAAAATATTTTTTCTAAACATAATTCATATTAAACTTATATATGAATAAAAAATTATAAGTACTTTTTGAAGTGATGTGACCATTCAAGCGAACCGGGAATATATTTTTACTGATTTTTAAAAGATTAATACAAAAATGTTATATACAGTCAAGTCTTGTGTAAAGGGATGTAAAAGTCTATCTGGAAATAGGCTTCAAATGTGTTGTAATTAAATAATTATTTGTCATTAAGTGCTGAGAGTGAGAGAAAATGCACTTTTTAGCAATCATTGTAAAAATGTAAACCCTTTTCCAGTCAGTGACAAACACCCCATACATACAAGTCCTAAACACTGTATATATCAAAGTTGGGTCGATTATAGATTTAAATTTTTGTCAAAATTTACTACTAATTCAATTCATACGAACAAAATCATTAAAAAGTGTCATATTTGAACAGAAAAAATTATTATTATTTAAATAATTAATGTGTCACATATTGAAAGCATTTTTGTACAGTATAATAGACGTATACTTAATGAGCATTTTTCTCTGTTAATGAGTTTCCAAACATTTGTTAGCAAAAATATTTTTTGCTAAAACTCTCTAAATGTCAGTCAATCACTATAAAAACATTTACAGTATTTGCTATTAACTTCCATAGGAAATACATACCGATATCTATTGGTGTTTGAGTCGTGGATATCCAATCACTACTGCTATATTCGCCGCTTAAAAATCAGAAAATATTTAAAAATAGCGTTTATATTGTTTTATATGGGAATCTGTGTTTTGTAGATATTGCTGCTAATTTAGCCCACAAGTTTCTTAATTAACGTTTCGTATAATTTCTATATTAGAAAAACTGTTCCTTAAAATCCTGAAAAACTTTTTTCTCTCCATTCGTTAAACGCATGAAAGAGATGTCGAAATAATTTATTAATAATTTTGAGAAAAGCAAAACATTAGCAGTGAAAATTAAATTAATTAGTTTTTTACAGTTTCACATAATTAACTCTAGAAAATCATTTTCATTAAATCCCTAAAAAATGATGCAAACTTTTAGCTAGTTTTTCACAAAAGCTATATTAATTGATAGACTTTAAAATATCTCTCAATTGTCGTCTAAAATGTTTGCTTTTCTAGCGCTTTGTTTCTAATTTACAAAATGAATTTAAATCTATATATAAATCTAATTATTACATAAAATGCAACTATTATATTTATCAGAGTGTATATATAACTACGGTATATTTAATGCTTTGTTATTCGTATTAAGAAAGAAATGATTTATTTAAGAAACTTTTGTAGTATTTTAGAAACTAATGCTTTATATAAACTATTAAGTCATAAGACGTATATATTTTATGTATATATTGTAGAAAACTATTTATAATTTTTATAACTGATATGATTTAGTCTTTGTATGAGTCTATTTGAACGATAAGAAAGGAAAAGTAAGACTATAATCCCATTTGTCATTATCTGATCCTATTTAGCATTGAAGTTGAGACGCAATCCCATAGAAATCCCATAGAAGTGAATGGTTTGGTCTTTGGAAGTGTACTACTCGTTGACTACTGTCTCGACTACTGAGGCAATGGTCTAAATGCTGGCAACTCTACTGCTAATTGTATTATTAAAGAGACTTATGTTTTGTGTTGACTCACATAAATGTCTGCTCAGATGCAGCTCCCGGTGCGTAATAATTAGAGCGATTGTATGGTTCGTACTGATAGTGAAAGTATTGCTGTCCCCTCACTGGCACTGACGGCCGCTTCTCCCTCACCACTGCCGCCGACTCTTTGATGCCATCAAATGAATGAAATTGTTTGTGAGGTTCACTCATCTGAAGTTTGTCTCTCTGTTCAGTACCATTAGGCGCAGTGGTGCTGGTAGCATTGGTAGCACTGGTAGCCCTCATCTCTTTTTCTGAAACGGGACAACAAGAGAGGGTTGCGTCTCAATCATCAGTCAATCATTTGTTTTTTGCTTTCCGTATATCGAAAGCTCTATTCAATCGACAATATTGTCAATTAAGGCTTCACTACCACTACTACTACACAGCAATCACTACACCTATAGATCAGCATTTCATTCATTGAATACTACAAAGCAGTCTATGAACTAAAATAAATATCCATTTTCATCAAAAAGCATCACTACTTGAAGCCAATTGTTGTCATCTATTATTTTGAAAGCATTAGTGAATACTTAAGCTCTAATCCAATTTAGTATTGACTTAAGTAAATGTCAATTTTGTGCATTACATGGGCTGCTCAATGAATAGCAAAAAAAGCAAAACCACAACCATATCAACGAATTAAGTGAACACAACATCAAACGATCCGTTTTATAGATTTTCACGGAATTCCTTTAAACATCGATCCCTTTCCCTATATATCGATGCCGTTTGTCTCTACTATTATCATATGCTCTACTTTTTTGCAGCTCATTATGCTATGAGAGCTCAATATTTACCATTAATTAGTATTTTGAGGTAAAATATCGATAAAATACTGTTTGACGCAAATGTGTTTCGATTGAATTAATTGAATGGAAAAGAAAATTTGTTAATAAAGTGAAGAGTTTTCGCAATAATTAGCGCCAATAAATAGCCCGAGAATGTGATCTCTTGTGATAAAGAGCATAAATGGTCACAAACTGACAGCTGGTGTGACATTCAATTGGAAAGAAAGTTTGTTTCCAGTGACCGGTGCTATAGTTGGTCAACATTACGCCGATCATCAACTCTAAGCACAATATTCTCATCTCTCACTTAAACTGAACAGTGATGGCAACAAAGTTAGTCATATTCTGGAGAGTATTTTGTGCATAACTACACTGCAGTGAATACCGGTGCTAATGCTGTTACACTTTAGCAAAGATTATGCTCCACAAAATGAGTTGCCTTTTTGTTAGTGTCGGTCCCCTTCTAATACTCTTTGCATGCCTTATATGCCTCATTCTGATCGACATTTGATTGGCTTTATGGCAACATCTGTGTGAACACTATGCCACAGCACCGGCTATAGCACAGCCCAACACTTAGTCTCCAAGAGTCAAACTTTCTATACTATGCTTTATATCGAAACCATTAGCCAGAGAAGAGTTTGATCTCAAAATCTGTTGATGTTTAGAAAGTGTAGTATTTTTGTGCCAGTTCTACATTTTTTGGACCATATTTTTGCATATCTATTATACAGTTCTCCCAAACTCTTACTAACACTGAGTTAAGTGTGGAGTAGAGTCGAGAACAAAGTTTTAAAACACTTATTATATAAAATATATGGCAAAAAATACATAATTTCTCTAAATTTTTTGCATCAAAAATGGTAAACCATATTATGGAAACATTTTGTGCAACAAACTTAAAAATAAATTTTATAATTATATTTAATCGAAATGATTGATCAGCAAACATAGAGCATTATAATTAAAGCTTTCAATATTTATTTAGCGATTTCTTTTGTTTGCTGCTCTGCGCCCAACCATTTCTCCATTAACTCATAAACTGATGGATAGGTTTATAAAAAAATTGAATTTTTTTATAACATTCTTATCATTCGTCTGTAATGTTTGGCACAAACAGAGAATTTGTGTTCAAATCAGTTTATATACAAATATATAGATAGAAAAATAATGCATTTCATATCAAGAATTGATATAAAGTTTTTATTTAAAAGTTATGACAATTGTTTTCTATTCACGCCAATGAATGCTAGCAATAGGCTTTGATACATAACCCAGAATTAAATAGTATACCACCAACGCTGACGGTATAATAAGTAGATATTGTTTTTAAAGCTAAACAAAAACACATTCAATTCTGCAGTGAATTTGAAATTAGAATAACTTATTCTTTCCATAATTTAATGTGAGAACTAAACCATATTTGATACGAGTTTTTGTGTTCAAAAAGTTTGTTAGACTTCTTATTTACTTCTTGTAAATAAACTACAGAATGTGTGACTTTTAATGCAAAGGAAAACGGCATTTCTATACATTTATTATTTTCGTATTCATAATAAAATTGTAGACTTAGTTATAGTTATAAGACTTATTATAATATAGAATTTCTGTTTTTAATACACGTTCTTCTCTTCTCGATAATTGCCGGTTTGAGGCACTTATAAATGTCACAAACAATTGCATACTAGCTATTACTAGCTCTCTCTCTCTCTCTCTCTCTCTCTCTCTCTCTCAATGTATTTGAAAGGCTAAATAAAATGAGTAGTTGTTGTAACTGTTTTGGGAATCAAATAATGCATAAACACTTTGCATGTTATCATGATATCTTTGAAATAAGTTATTGTATATTTTTGCAATTTCTTATATTTAGTAAAGTAAGTGCATTTAGAATTGATGTCATAAAATGATTGCCAATAAATTATCGACTTATTAAAAATCTAAATAATTTTCTATTAACTAAGTGTTAGAGAATTTTTATATTAAAATAAAATTACTTTTATATTAAACTAAAGAAAAATAAGTATTTTTGGGCAAAAAAAGTAGTGAACAGTGAATAGAGAGACACGAATACAACACTTATAATATCTCTATGGAAACGTCATTCCCTTTTCGTTATGCATTTATAATGTTAATTGCAGTCTATTTTGTGTTTGCAATCAAATTAATAAATTTGATTCAATGATAACATTTTATTGGAAAATAATTTGAATCACATAAAAACATATTTTCGCTGTAATCGTATGCCTATTTTGACTTTCAAATGAGTCAAATTGATATTTTTTGTAATTCAATCTCTCGTAGACTAACCTATATTTTAGTAAATTTCTAATCAATTTAAGAGATATATTAAATTGAAAGCCGAAAATTATCTTAAAAACAATTGTTTGCTATTATTATTGCTTAATAGTTATTACTTTGAGGAGTGGTTTTGAAAAGTTATATTAAAACTTAATGGCTGCAATAAAAGTGAAACAAATTGTCAATTTTATATTATAAAAACTAATTTTGTTAACAATAAATAGAAGCCATTGATATAAAACATAACAATAAAATATGTTCACAGCTTTTGTGGCTATCATAGAGACTTATAAACAGGTGTTAAATATGTGGTTATGTTTTATCACTAATGAATTATTCGATAAAATTAATTTGAAATAAAGTGTTTATTATTAATCAAAAAGCATTTCCAATAGGTTTTATGATCATTAGATAAGATGAGCGCAAATTTATGATAAACAATTTAATAGAAATGTATTGGATGTATAATCAATGTATAACTACTTTAAATATATTATAGAAAATTAGAAATTCATACAAATGCCTATTGTTTTCAAATATTACTATTTGTTTGAATAGTGTTTTGAACATTAAATGTTGAGTTCAAAGAACTGCAATTCAGGCACACATTAAAATCATTATAAGTTTTAAAAATTGAAGTCTAACTTAAATTTCTTGTTCATTTATTGAAGTCCTTAAACACTAACTCATAGTATCAGTGCTTTAGTGAAGTCGACTGAAAGGCAATAAGAGAAGCGCTGATAGTTATAGACTTATTTCTAATTGATTTTTGTCAAATGATTGAGTGCCAGTGCTATACATTTAATACTGTTAAGGAAAGGGTAGGGGAGAGTGTGGGCCCAACTATACTAATCCAAACTTATAGTTACTCTCAATTTCATAGCATTTGCTTCGTTTTCATTGATGCGATGAAATCAATGTTTTTTCATTCCTTTGATTATCGCTATTAAATGCATTTACTGACAAATTTGCTCTATTCTGACATTACTGTACTGTACTCTCCCGTTGGAGAGAGAGAGAGAGAGAGAGAGAGAGATAGAGAGGGAGAGAGAGAGAGAGAGAGAGATGCGAAGAGAATCAAAGATTTGTTAGAAATATATAAAAGCATAAAAGTACTCAACTTTTGAGTTGTAATTTAACAAAAAGACTAAAAATTAAAAACAAAGCATTTTTCGGTGCAATGCGTTGAGTGCTTTACTACTCAGTTATTATCAATACTGACTAACACTTTCAATCGTATCTTCAATGAGAAAAGTTTTGTTTAATTTCAGAATAAAATGTATAATTAGTTTAAGTGACGAAAAAATGAATCCCAAATAGAAATGATTACAATTTGAAAATTCGCGAAAAAAGCGATTAATGCTTCACTCAAAGTATACTTTTTAAAAATATATTTTTAAACTCTATCTCTATATTTATGCTCGAAATGGCAGTTGTTTTCGGTGTGGGTTTCCATCAATAGGCAAACTGTTAGCCATCTCTTACTCATACGGTTGCACATATTTTTGAGTGTTTTATGAGTAGAGCGCTGAGGCACTGGTGTTCATCAAAGTGCTATCAATCAACTGCTATATTAAGCAATCCATGCGAGCACTCACTGAAGTCAGTGTTTTATGTATAGCTGTGGCGTATGGGAGAAAATGACCCCCACATACACACCCAAAATAATGGTAACCGTGCTCTGCATCGCTGGCAGTACTGACTACACTCACGGCACTCATGGCGAGCAGCAAACAGTGTGCCCGACGTGTGTGTGTGTGTGTGTGAGTGTGTGTGTGTGTGTGTGTGTGTGTGTCAGCTGCAGCCCTACCACTGCCTCTGCTCTGCCTTTCGCTTGCATTTCAAATGCATATTAATATATGGCGAGAGTTCCGCAAACACTTTGAAAATTATATAAATTTTTTGTCAGAACTTCAACAAAAGAAAACACATTATAAACACAAAACATATAATTTATATAAAATACTATTAAAAACTTTTTTGCTCTTTAAAAACTTTCAAGTAACGAATGTAAGTTTTTTGCACACAATCAATCGCAAGCAGTTATTTTATTAATGTATTATGCAATGTAATTATATTATATTATATTAAACATTATTTTAGTAAAAGTTTAATTACGATAAAGTATTTTGAAAACATTTGAATTCATATAAA